GTGCGTGCAAAGCCCGGAGCTTTCCCCACTCCGCCTGTTTCTCTTAAGGTTGACAATTTCCTTGCAGAGGCCGCCGCCTTGTATCCTTCATTAACAGGTGATACAGCTCTCAGAAGGCCAACTCGGCCCCAAGAACGCACCCCCCCCCCAACAACACAGCCTACGCTTGGTGTTCCCTTTCAGGAGCATAACTGTGTATTACAACCTAGCGTTTAAAGACAGTGACACTTCTGATTAGGCAACTCCGGTTAGAAAACGCATCTGTCCTTTGTCCCCCTGCCCCCCGGCGGGTGCCGCACCTCCACCCAGGAACCCCTCTGGGGCAGGAGGGCGCATCGCAAGGGGGCCAGTCTGCTGCTAAAAGTAGCTGCTTATGCTGACAAGCCTGCGGAGCACTTTTGTTTTTTGGTTCTTATCTGGGAAGCAGTGGCATGTGAGGCCTATGGCTGAATAAATAGGAGCCTCGGGCAGCAATGTGCTCTAGCCCTGGCACCCTTCAAGCATTCAAATGATAATAATAATAATAATAAAAACACCCTTATTCTTTCTCCCCTGAAATCGCCCCATTCTCGCCACACAGAAGGCCTTCTGCATACTTCATGATGCCCCAACCAGCAAGAGGCTCCCCCACAGTGTCCAAGTGGGCATGACTTTAGGGGCACCGCGCTCCTCTTGGCTGCGGGTAGGTGCCATCCTGCCCTCAGGCCCGCCTCCGCCAGCGACACGGAGCCCAGGACTCCGACCACCCCCGGTCAGGGCGCCCACCCCGCAGCCGGCTCCGCTCGTCCCCGCAGGGCTGAGGGCTGACCCGGCGCGCGCGGGTGGGGGGGGGGCGCGGCGCGGGGTGGGGGGGGGGCGCGGCGCGGCCGGTAACCCAGTGCGCGGCCCTGCCCGGGGCTGCCAGCGGCGAGCGCGCCCCGGGCACACGCAGGTGCACCGCCTCCGGCTCCGGGCAGGTGCGCGCGGCTCCGCAGCTCGGACGGCGCGAGAGCCCGGACCCCGCCCCGCGACTGCACCTCCTGGACCCTCCGGGACCGGTCCGCGCAGCCCCGCGACCCGCCGCGCGCTCCGCACCCCGCCCCCAGCCCAGCAGCTCTCCCTGCTCCGTCCCCCCCAGCAGCTCTCCCTGCTCCGTGGACCCCAGCAGCCCTCTCCGCTCCGGGACCCCCCCAGCAGCTCTCCCTGCTCCGTCCCCCCCCCAGTATCCCTCTCTGCTCCCAGACCACCCCCCAGCAGCTCTCCCTGCCCCATCACCCCCAGCAGCCCTCTCGGCTCCGGGACCCCCAGCACTCCTCTGTGCTCTGTCCCCCCCAGCAGCCCTCTCCGCTCCGTCCCCCCAGCACCCCTCTCCGCTCCATCCCCCCCAGCAGCCCTCTCCGCTCCGTCCCCCCAGCACCTCTCTCCGCTCCGTCCCCCCAGCACCCCTCTCCGCTCCATCCCCCCCAGCACCTCTCTCCGCTCCGTCCCCCCCAGCACCCCTCTCCGCTCCATCCCCCCCAGCACCTCTCTCCGCTCCGTCCCCCCAGCACCCCTCTCCGCTCCATCCCCCCCAGCACCCCTCTCCGCTCCGTCCCCCCAGCACCTCTCTCCGCTCCGTCCCCCAGCACCCCTCTCCGCTCCGTCCCCCCCAGCACCCCTCTCCGCTCCGTCCCCCCAGCACCTCTCTCCGCTCCGGGACCCCCCCAGCACCCCTCTCCGCTCCATCCCCCCCAGCAGCCCTCTCCGTCCCCCCCAGCACCCCTGTCCGCTCCGTCCCCCCAGCACCCCTCTCCGCTCCGTCCCCCCAGCACCCCTCTCCGCTCCGTCCCCCCAGCACCTCTCTCCGCTCCGGGACACCCCCAGCACCCCTCTCCGCTCCATCCCCCCCAGCAGCCCTCTCCGCTCCGTCCCCCCAGCACCTCTCTCCGCTCCGGGACCCCCCCCAGCACCCCTCTCCGCTCCGTCCCCCCAGCACCTCTCTCCGCTCCGTCCCCCCCAGCACCCCTCTCCGCTCCGTCCCCCCAGCACCCCTCTCCGCTCCATCCCCCCCAGCACCTCTCTCCGCTCCGTCCCCCCCAGCAGCCCTCTCCGCTCCGTCCCCCCCAGCACCTCTCTCCGCTCCGTCCCCCCCAGCACCTCTCTCCGCTCCGTCCCCCCAGCACCCCTCTCCGCTCCGTCCCCCCCAGCACCCCTCTCCGCTCCGTCCCCCCAGCACCTCTCTCCGCTCCGGGACCCCCCCAGCACCCCTCTCCGCTCCATCCCCCCCAGCACCTCTCTCCGCTCCGTCCCCCCCAGCACCCCTCTCCGCTCCATCCCCCCCAGCACCTCTCTCCGCTCCGTCCCCCCCAGCACCCCTCTCCGCTCCATCCCCCCCAGCACCTCTCTCCGCTCCGTCCCCCCCAGCACCCCTCTCCGCTCCATCCCCCCCAGCACCTCTCTCCGCTCCGTCCCCCCCAGCACCCCTCTCCGCTCCATCCCCCCCAGCACCTCTCTCCGCTCCGTCCCCCCCAGCACCCCTCTCCGCTCCATCCCCCCCAGCACCTCTCTCCGCTCCGTCCCCCCAGCACCCTCTCCGCTCCATCCCCCCCAGCACCCCTCTCCGCTCCGTCCCCCCAGCACCTCTCTCCGCTCCGTCCCCCCAGCACCCCTCTCCGCTCCGTCCCCCCCAGCACCCCTCTCCGCTCCGTCCCCCCAGCACCTCTCTCCGCTCCGGGACCCCCCCAGCACCCCTCTCCGCTCCATCCCCCCCAGCAGCCCTCTCCGTCCCCCCCAGCACCCCTGTCCGCTCCGTCCCCCCAGCACCCCTCTCCGCTCCGTCCCCCCAGCACCCCTCTCCGCTCCGTCCCCCCAGCACCTCTCTCCGCTCCGGGACACCCCCAGCACCCCTCTCCGCTCCATCCCCCCCAGCAGCCCTCTCCGCTCCGTCCCCCCAGCACCTCTCTCCGCTCCGGGACCCCCCCCAGCACCCCTCTCCGCTCCGTCCCCCCAGCACCTCTCTCCGCTCCGTCCCCCCAGCACCCCTCTCCGCTCCGTCCCCCCCAGCACCCCTCTCCGCTCCATCCCCCCCAGCACCTCTCTCCGCTCCGTCCCCCCCAGCAGCCCTCTCCGCTCCGTCCCCCCCAGCACCTCTCTCCGCTCCGTCCCCCCCAGCACCTCTCTCCGCTCCGTCCCCCCAGCACCCCTCTCCGCTCCGTCCCCCCCAGCACCCCTCTCCGCTCCGTCCCCCCAGCACCTCTCTCCGCTCCGGGACCCCCCCAGCACCCCTCTCCGCTCCATCCCCCCCAGCACCTCTCTCCGCTCCGTCCCCCCCAGCACCCCTCTCCGCTCCATCCCCCCCAGCACCTCTCTCCGCTCCGTCCCCCCCAGCACCCCTCTCCGCTCCATCCCCCCCAGCACCTCTCTCCGCTCCGTCCCCCCCAGCACCCCTCTCCGCTCCATCCCCCCCAGCACCTCTCTCCGCTCCGTCCCCCCCAGCACCCCTCTCCGCTCCATCCCCCCAGCACCTCTCTCCGCTCCGTCCCCCCCAGCACCCCTCTCCGCTCCATCCCCCCCAGCACCTCTCTCCGCTCCGTCCCCCCAGCACCCCTCTCCGCTCCATCCCCCCCAGCACCCCTCTCCGCTCCGTCCCCCCAGCACCTCTCTCCGCTCCGTCCCCCCAGCACCCCTCTCCGCTCCGTCCCCCCAGCACCCCTCTCCGCTCCGTCCCCCAGCACCTCTCTCCGCTCCGGGACCCCCCCAGCACCCCTCTCCGCTCCATCCCCCCAGCAGCCCTCTCCGTCCCCCCAGCACCCCTGTCCGCTCCGTCCCCCAGCACCCCTCTCCGCTCCATCCCCCCCAGCACCTCTCTCCGCTCCGTCCCCCCAGCACCCTCTCCGCTCCATCCCCCCAGCACCTCTCTCCGCTCCGTCCCCCCAGCACCCCTCTCCGCTCCATCCCCCCCAGCACCCCTCTCCGCTCCGTCCCCCCAGCACCTCTCTCCGCTCCGTCCCCCCAGCACCCCTCTCCGCTCCGTCCCCCCCAGCACCCCTCTCCGCTCCGTCCCCCCAGCACCTCTCTCCGCTCCGGGACCCCCCCAGCACCCCTCTCCGCTCCATCCCCCCCAGCAGCCCTCTCCGTCCCCCCCAGCACCCCTGTCCGCTCCGTCCCCCCAGCACCCCTCTCCGCTCCGTCCCCCCAGCACCCCTCTCCGCTCCGTCCCCCCAGCACCTCTCTCCGCTCCGGGACACCCCCAGCACCCCTCTCCGCTCCATCCCCCCCAGCAGCCCTCTCCGCTCCGTCCCCCCAGCACCTCTCTCCGCTCCGGGACCCCCCCAGCACCCCTCTCCGCTCCGTCCCCCAGCACCTCTCTCCGCTCCGTCCCCCCCAGCACCCCTCTCCGCTCCGTCCCCCCCAGTACCCCTCTCCGCTCCATCCCCCCCAGCACCTCTCTCCGCTCCGTCCCCCCCAGCAGCCCTCTCCGCTCCGTCCCCCCCAGCACCTCTCTCCGCTCCGTCCCCCCAGCACCCCTCTCCGCTCCGTCCCCCCAGCACCCCTCTCCGCTCCATCCCCCCAGCAGCCCTCTCCGCTCCGTCCCCCCAGCACCCCTCTCCGCTCCGTCCCCCCAGCACCTCTCTCCGCTCCGGGACCCCCCCAGCAGCCCTCTCCGCTCCGTCCCCCCAGCACCCCTGTCCGCTCCGTCCCCCCAGCACCCCTCTCCGCTCCGGGACCCCCCCAGCACCCCTCTCCGCTCCGTCCCCCAGCACCCCTCTCCGCTCCGGGACCCCCCCAGCACCCCTCTCCGCTCCGTACCCCCAGCACCTCTCTCCGCTCCGGGACCCCCCCAGCACCCCTCTCCGCTCCGGGACCCCCCCCCCCAGCAGCCCTCTCCGCTCCGGGCCCCCCGCCCCCCAGGAACGCGGAGCAGCGGCACCTAACGGGCCCAGGGCACCGAGACGCGTGTCCCGCGCGGACTTGGGGGGCCCCGCGCGTGCGCCCCCGTCCCCTCCGCTCCCCGCGTGGGCCGCGCTCCGCCGGGCGCCTACCTGCGTGGGACATGGTGACGGTGTCGTTGGTGCCGGAGCCCACGTTGAAGATGACCACGGCCGAGGCGTTCTGCAGGAAGGCGTTGCGGATCTTGTCCCGGTACGTGCAGTTGCCCTTGGGGATGAGGGCGATCCAGCTGCGGCCGCGGCCCGGGGCGGCGAACCTGGTGCCGGGGTCGCAGGCCAGGCGGTCGTGCGCGGCGCTCGCCATCACCACCTGGCCGCGGGCGTCCTGCTTGGGCGAGTGCTCCCCGTAGCGCCCGCACTCGGAGCGCTCGCTGCGCAGCTCGGGGCCGCCGCCGCCCGCCGCCCCGGCCCCCGGCCCGGCCCCCGGCCCCGGCCCCGGCCCCGGCCCCGGCCCCGGCCCCGGCCCCGGCGCGGCGTCGGGCGCGGGCTCGGCGTAGGTGATGTTCACGAAGGCGGTGTACCACTCCTCCTTCTCGGCCACCGTGAAGTCCAGGCACAGCAGATGCACGAAACAAAAGGAAAGCAGCCATGTTGAGAGGGCCAGGCTGCGGCACGCCTGCACCACCGACCGGGCCATGGCCGCGCGCCGCGCCCCCCGCCCGCCCGCCCGCCGCCTCCGCGCCCCGCCGCCGCGCCCCGCCGCCGACCGGCCCGCGGCTCGCGTCCTCCGCCCGCCCCGCCCCCTCCTGCCCCGCCCCCCGGCGCTCCTCCTCCTCCTCCTCCCCCTGGTCCTCCTCCCCCTCCCCCTGGCCCTCCCCGCCCCGCCCCCCGGCGCTCCTCCCCTCCTCCCCTCCTCCCCCTCCCCCTGGTCCTCCTCCTCCTCCCCTCCCCTGTCCTCCCCCTCCTCTCCCCCTCCCCCTCCTCCCCCTCCCCCTCCTCCCACTCCCGGGTTCCGAGCGCGGGTCAGCCCGGGCTGAGCGCAGCCGAGCTGCCCCGGCACCGGGGGCGCGCGGGCGGGGGGCGCGCGGGGGCCCGCGGAGGAGGCGAGCGGCCGGCGGGCGGGCTCCCGGGCGCGGCTCCCGCGGGCTGGCGGGGGCTCCGGGAGCGGGCGGCCGCGCCGGGACGCACTTGCGGGAGGCGGCCCGGGCCGGGGCACGCGGAGGGAGCGGACCGACAGGAGCGCGAGGTCCGTGCGTGTCCGTGTGTGAGTGTGTGAGTGTGTGAGTGTGTGATGTGCGCGCAGGAGGAGCCTGGAGTGATGGCGAGGATCCTGGGCGCCGCTCGCCGCGCTCCCCCGGGCTCTCCTGCGGGGCGGCAGCGACCTCTGCCGGGTCGCGGGTCCCGGCTCACCTCTGCTTGCACCAGGTGCGGGCGGGAGGGGAAGCGGCCGGACCTCGGCGCGGGCGACTCCCTGCGCCTGAGATGGAGCCCAGGGCGCGCGTGGTGGGCGCAGCCTCCCCCGGGCGGGAGGGACCCGCTGAGCTCCGACTGCAGGACGCGGGGCTCAGGCCGCGGCCCCAGGGCCTCCCCGAGCGCACCCGAGGGACGCGCTGAGCTCCCACTGCAGGACGCGAGGGCCAGGCCGCGGACCCAGGGCCTCCCCGAGCGCACCCGAGGGACGCGCTGAGCTCCCACTGCAGGACGCGGGGCTCAGGCCGCGGCCCCAGGGCCTCCCCGAGCGCACCCGAGGGACGCGCTGAGCTTCGACTGCAGGACGCGGGGCTCAGGCCGCGGACCCAGGGCCTCCCCGAGCGCACCCGAGGGACGCGCTGAGCTCCGACTGCAGGACGCGGGGCTCAGGCCGCGGACCCAGGGCCTCCCCGAGCGCACCCGAGGGACGCGCTGAGCTCCGACTGCAGGACGCGGGGCTCAGGCCGCGGCCCCAGGGCCTTCCCGAGCGCACCCGAGGGACGCGCTGAGCTCCGACTGCAGGACGCGGGGCTCAGGTCGCGGCCAGTGGCGCCAGGGCCTTCCCCAGCTACCCGGAGGGTCGGGGCTGAGCTCCGACTTGGCCACGCGGGATTCAGGCCGCTGCCAGCGGCACCAGGGCCTTCCCGAGCGCACCTGCAGTGCCCAGGGCAGCGACGGCCCATCCAGGAGGGGGTCTCAGCAGCACGCGGGTGGGGGGCACTCCAGCTGCTGGCCCCGCCACGGGAGTATGATCCACTGCACCGGAGCCACAGCACGCTCCCGGGGGTGGGGGGTGCTGCCCGTGCTGGACTGGGGGCCACTGCTTTGGGGTATTGGGTCGTGTCACTCCAGGAGGCTTTCTCGTCCCTCATCTGGAAGCAGACATGTGATGTTTGTTTCCTTCTAGAACGGATGTTTTCTCTATAAGAAAAGAAACCGAGTGAGCTGTTTTCCCACTGCGGTTATTCGGGTTGTCATGCCTGGTGGTGTCAACAGGCAAGTGAGGTTTCTCTGCGTTTCCCTCTATAGGGTGTTCCCGGGTTGGAGACGCGGGTAGGCGGGTAGCGCAGCGCCGGTAGAGCGGCCTTCTCCAAGCCGACACAGCCCCTTAACCACTTAAATGCTTAGATGCTGCTGCCCTCCACACCGACGGATTCCTGGGCCTGAGAGAAGTGCCATGGAAGGGCTCGGAGAGAACTGGTGGGACGGTTCTCAATCACTCTCCCCTGGCATTCTTTCAGAGGACCCGGACTCAGTGCTGAAGACAAAAGGCCACATTTCCCTAAGATCTTAGTATGTTTACAGCTTTCTGTCACCCACAGCCTCCCCCACCCACCCACCCAGCACAGCTTCTCTTTTTCCAGCAGCCGCACAAACAGCTGGTGGCTGTTGGGGGGAGAACAAGGAGCCCCCGCTTTACCCGAATTAGAAGCAGGCGCAAGAAGAACTACTTAGGAGAGTTGGTCTCTATGGTTTTTGATGTGCTGGTTTTATGTGTTTTCCTGACTTACTTATTTTAGAAAATAGGCTTCTAGGCAATCGGGACAGTGCTTTTTATATAGTACCTAGTGGTACAGGGAGGCAACCGCGGAGCCTGCCTGGCTGCTGGTCCCCGAGTCACCAGAGATCCGAGGGAAGAGTCCATTGGCTGAAAACCCCCAGCTAGGCTCTGTACAGAGGCCTTGGCAAACCAAGGTGGTTCCACAAACCTCTCTGTCTCTTAGCACTTTTTCTCCAGCCACAACACTTGGGGAATCTTTGTCCTTAAGAATGCATGACTGCCAGGGCCCCTGGTTAAGCAGCGGCCTTCAGCTTGGGTCGTGATCCCGGGGTCCTGGGATCCAGCGTTGGGCTCCCTGCTCCGCGGGGAATCTGCTTGTCCCTCTCCCTCTGCCCCTACCTCCGCTCATGAGCACGCTCTCGCTCTCTCTCAAGTAAATCAAATATTTGGAAAGAAAAGAATACATGACTACTGCTTATCCTTTTTTTCTCTTAGAAAAGTGAGAAGCTAACAAAGCAACAGGGTCAAGGAGCAGCATCCCGGTTGGGAAGTAGATTAATTACAGGGACGTTAGGCAAATAAGTAAAATACTGAAGGGAATGTGAGCCGGGTTTCTTAGTGTTGGAAAAAATGTACAAATATGGAAAGAAAGAGAGTTCTGAAGAACCTGAGATGTTGGATTAGTTTAGAAATGGGTGTGAAATCACATATACACCATAAATCTTTTCAATGGATCCCTCAAGAGGCCAGAAGGCCTTGGTTTCTAAGTACCATCTCCCAGTGAAAGGAACCAGGGCTCGGGCTGGGAAAACCCCAGTAAGCCCGGAACCTCTTACCTGGCAGTGCTCACAGCACGATGGACAACATGCCCAAAGGACTGTGAGCCAGCTGGATGGAGCTCCCAGCGGCTGAATCTGGAACAATCTGAGTGTCAAAATAAATAATGATAGTAACTTATTACAACCTGTTGGATAAAATGGGAATCCACGAATCTGTGCTAATATAAATGAATAAATAAATAACGATAGAATGGATAAATCCTTATCACAGAATTCAAATGAATAAGATCAATGAAAATAGACAGTCCCGATTCAGCAGCGCTCACTGAGTCAGGAGTCCTCGGCAGGTGCTAAGGCGGGTGGCCGGTACCGCAGGACACTAGCCTGGCCCTGAAGCACCTCCTGGAGATTACTTCTTGATTCCAAGGGGGGATCGGTGAGCTTCTCGGAGAGAACCCTGGAGGATGCCCCTGGGCCAGATGAACGAGGGGAGCATCAGCAGCAGGTGCAGCGAACCACGTCCTGTGCCTCGAGGCAAGAGCACAGCGTCATTTGTCGCCACGGGGCGCCTGGCCTGAATCTGGACATGGGGGCACGTGGGGTGGACCCAGGGTGAGAGGGAGCCTGCAGGAGCACGGGCTGGAACATATAGAATAACTCTTAAGCTCCGGAGACACAGAAAGACAGAAGAACTAATCAATCCCAATTGAAAGAGACTCGAGAGACAGGACAACTAAACGCAACAAATGATCCTAGATTAGCTCCTGCGAATAATAAACTACTCCTGAAAAATAATAAAATAATGAATAGAAAGGAAGGGCAGGCAGTTGGCAAAAGTCGAATGCTTTCAGTGGATTGGGTAGTAGTGCCTCCCGGTGCCGATGACCTGACTTGGACACGCGCGTTGTGGCTGTGAGAAGACGGTCTCCGCGGGAGGACGCGCCCTCCGAGGACTGAGGAGCGGTGAGGCCGTCGTCTGTCTGCGGTTTGCTCTTATGCGGTTCAAAAGAAAAAAAAAAAAGCTCAAAAGAAAAAAAGGGGGGGGGGATGGTAACCTGTCTGTAAGGTCTTGGTTTCCAGTAGCTGCTATTGCAGAGAAGCTGGAACCTAATTTTCGATAAAAAATCGAAAGTCCACGTGGGGGGGGGCGGACAGTGGTTGGGAAACCCGCTTCCAGCTTCGTGCTAACGACGCCCTCCTCTCCAGGGCATCACCCGACCCGCTGAGCTGGCCGCCCTCCAGGGAGGAAGACAGGTGAGGCTGCTGCTCTCGCGGAGTTCATGCTCTGCGCTGGAAGAAACCCATCCTGTTAAGTTGTAGATTATGCGGCACCTGGGGGGCTCGGGCAGTTCAGCACCTGCCTTCGGGCCAGGTCAGGTCGTGACCCCAGGGTCCTGGAGTCATCAGGCTCCCTGCTCGGTGGGGGTCCGCGACTCCCTCTCCCTCTGCCCTTCTCCTCCTTGCGTGCTCACTCGCTCTCTCTCTGGCTTGGGCTCTCTCTCAAATAAATAAAATATCAAAAAAATATAATTTAGATTATAGGTAATTAGGTAATGACAAGTGCGAGGAAGAAAATGGCAGAGTCAAAACAGGGTGAGCTGTTTCCTATAAGGTGTTATTTCACATCAAGGTCAGCAGCTCTGACACGGTGATCTCTGAGCACAACCGTCGCAGGACGGGACCGTGGTTGTGCCAGGAGCGGGGAGGCATGAACACCAGGCCCCGAGGTGCGGTTGTACTTCATGGGCTCAAAGGAGAGCAAGGAAACCACAGGAGGTTGGAGAGGAGCGGGACACGGAGAAACAGGGGAGGCCAGACAGCCGGGCAGCCCGTCCTACGGAGCCTCGGAGTCCGAGCCGAGGACACCTTGGGTTCTATGCTGAGGGGGGGGAAGAGCCTCTGGCGGGTTCTGACCAGGGACATGGAATAACGTGACAGGTCTATCCTGGCTGG